ACCGGTATAATTATACATAAACATATTACCGCGGTGATAGTATGCATAGTATTTCTCATACAGGAAACTTAAAATTATTGATGTTGTACATTTGTACTTTTTTCTTTAAATAGGAAACTTCATATGAAATACTGTAAAGGGGGTAATTATTCACTGGGTTTTAATTTGGCTTATTTCGCTGACTGGAAAATGCGCTAAATTAAAACCCAGTGAATATGTAAAATTTAGCATAGAACACATTATCTATATGACGAAACCGTGAATTTAAAACCCACTGAATATGCCTGAAATGGTAAATCAGTGAAATTTAAACCCAGTGAAAATTAGTCATTTTACAGTAATAGACAATAACAATTGATTACTTTATTTTATGTTGAATTTATGAAAACCAAATAGAAAAAAGGATATTTACTGATTCAACTATTCAGAAAAAATAAATTAAGAAATGCAAAGATCGCTGTTTTGGTTATGACAAAAAAGCCCAAAGGGTTATGACATTAGACTTACCTGAGAGCCATTTGAGCACATGCTAACCCACAATCCCACTGTGTTTGTTGAATTACATGTGGTACTGGAATATTGACAGACTTGCACACGTCTGTAAAAATATTGATATATACATTTTCAAGAGAACACATCAATATACCGGGGTATGATACAGTAAATTTGATAATGTATACATGTAGGTAGTGTTTGAAGTTCTCAAAATTGTGTACCGGAAGGATTATTTTTAAATACTGTTGCTTATTTTTCTGATAGCTAAGGCCATATAAAAAATCAGAATGGTTCTGATAAATCCACCATACATGAAATTAGTTTTGTGAATGCGGTCTAAACTATTTTTGGCCAATCATGAAAAATCGTACAAGATTTCAGTTCTATTATGCAGAATTCTGGCCAAATTGGTAAGACTTTGCTGTAAACATCATCAGGCAGTGGAAAAATTCTGATATACCATATTTATTCTAGATGCTATTTAAGGACCCGATAATGCTTCAAAGTTTCCCAAAATATTTAAGTGGGTGCTCTCCCGACCATTCCTTTTACATATACTGGTACCTGTGCCAAATTACAGAGATGCTAACTTAATTTTATGTTGCAGACCAGAATATTTAATTACGCAAAATTAAAAAAAAATATACACAGCAATCTTACACCACCAGGGCATTTTTTTACACGCATTGTATATG